CTGGACAGCTGGGATGAGCAGGCTAACTCCCCAAGTTCAAAGCAATGGCCTGCCTTACAACCATCAGAAGCATGGGGGTGATTGAAGACTTAATCTGTACCATTGCTGCTTCCTGCTACTTGTCCCACTGCTGCCACATCCAGCTCTAGCTGAAAGGAGCCCCATGGTCCCGAACAGGCCTGAGGGATATGGTGAGTTGGGCACCCTTGAATTAGGTGACTAGTGTAAGGCAGTGGTGCTCATGGTTTTGGCCCTGCAGGCCAGATGAATGGCACAGGGCTGGTCCATGGGCTGGTGTGTCCATGGGGGGGAGGGGTTGTCCATCTGGGGTTGCATTCGTACACATGTTCAGATTTGATTGGGCATCAGGTTAGCCTGATCTACACAGTGCACCTCCTAGGTGAACTAAAATTAAATCAGGCAACCATTTCTTGCTGGAGTTAACCTTCCGAACTAAGTTCAGCACATAGGTCGGTTTAACCCCAGTTAGACTGATTTAAGTGTAATGTCTATACATAGCATTAGTTTGGTCTTCTAAAATCTGCATAATCAGCCACCTGGGATTGGAACTGTATATAAATATGTAAAATATAATAACTACCCAAGGAGGAGAGAATCCCCTTATCATAAGATTTTTTTTTCACTCAAGTGTACACAAATTATAGTTCAGAAATATTTGTTTAGTAATAGTTACCTTTTTGGCAGGTTATGATTTTCCTCTGCAGCTGAAGGCACAAATCACTGAGATGGTCAGCTTGCCAATATTTTAGAAACACTTTTCGTACTCCTATCTATAAAATAAAACAGCAGGGAAACTTTCACTGTCCATAGAAGGGGCTAAAATGAAGTTGGGTAAATAACAATAGTACATAAATCACTTAGCAAAGACTCAAGATTAGTTCAGCAACCTAAAGTATGGTAGAATACCAATAATACATATTCTGTCGTGTTATTCCCTCCTTTCACTGAACAATATTGCTAACAAGGTTATAAGGAAACACCTTAGTTTTGGCACTTTCTGAACACACACAAATGATCAGATATCCTTAAAAGTTTGTTTATGTACAACTTTCAAAGTTTCCTTTCTAGCAGCCTTTACAAAATGCCTTCTTAAAAGCAGTGGATTACTTGGAAAATGCAAGTAATAAGTACGATCCACTCAACGCATGCAAGTAAAGACACTATTGGATCTAATGCATAATCCACACAATTATGCCTCTTGCTACACCACACACTCACAGCAGGAAGCATGATTGTGTATTAGATCCAACTGCACCTTATTGCTGGTGTAGAGGGAGCCTGATCCTGGGCTCCTGTTGCATTGGCAAGAAGCACGCACCCATGGCTGGTAGCCCCCTTTTTCTGAGAGGGCTCCCAGCCACAGGTGCCATGCACAGCTAAGACCAAGAGTCCCACAGCTGATAGGGCAGTGGGTCCCAGCTATGCCTCATGAGGTGGGCCCCAGAGCTCCATGTGGGCCAGGGGGATTCACATACCCCTGAGCCTTGGGAAACACAGCAGCCACAATCCCCATGGCTCAGGGGTTGCACCTTTTGGCTGGGAACCCTGTTAGCTGATGGGGGTCTCAGCTGCAGGGGGAGACCCTATTACATCTGCAAATTAAAGATCAATAGCAACCAGCTATAAAGTTAGTATACATTTTTGTGGTCTAACTTTATAGCTGGTTAGTTTTTTTATGATAGTTACTTTGTATGTGTAGCTGGTCTCAAGATAATTGTGCAATTAACCGGTTAATTACACGATACCTGTAATGTGTAGAGGAGGCCTAAGTAACAGTTATCCTTATCATGCTTTTCTTCTTAGGATCTTTATAGAAGAAATATTTTATTGTTCCTTAGCAACGTAAAAGGCAAGCACCAAATGAGCTAACATATAGTGAAGAATATAGTTTTTTTCACTGCTGGACCTGCTATTCATCTTCTATGCTTAAAAGCTGGCACACATACAGCTAAAATTGCACAGCATTCTTCCAAACCTTGTATTCTTATAATTTACAGGCCAGCTCCTGTTATCAGCTATATTAGCCCAACTCACTGAAAACACTTATTGTGGAGTTTCACCCATATAACTGGCAGATAAAATAGAAATTATAACATTTGTAGAAATAATAAAAATTATCCCCAAAGCCTATAAACGGAGAAAATTCATAAGATATTGCAATTTATGTTGCATGTTCTTTAACCTACCCCAGATACACAGGTGAGAATATAGGACTAATATAGGCCTGTAGGGTAGTTTCAGAATTGTCTTTAAAATGTATGTTTTATCCTTATTTCAGCAAAGTCTATAGCCAGTTCATATAAGCATATGTAAAACTGACTACATAGTTGAAACTATAATGTTGTGCTAGTCATAGCTATAACAATGATATGAAATGGTACAAAAATGATGAAACAAATCTACAATTTCAGAGCTTCCATTTACTATACGCCTCTTTAACAATGGATATAACAAAAACAGTAATATAACCTTACATTTATATTGCATTTCTCATCCTCAAGCGCTTTCCAAAAACAAAGAATTTTAGCTATGCATGTCAAGTTAATGTACTAGCAAAATCTGTCACACAAAGCTCTTTTGAACATGGTATCGGACTGTCTTCTCTTTAGGCCTTCCTAGGATGTGACAGTACAAATGACAGCCCTGTCTGCAAGAAGCTTCTATTATTGCTGGACTGATGGTAAATTAGACCAAGATTGCTAATATAGGTGCAGTTGAAGGGGCTGGATCCAAAATCTATTAAAGTAAACTGAAGAACCCTATTTTCCTTGAATGAGATTGGGATTACATCTTCAGTGTCTGCCTACCAAAAATATGCATATATTGCTTATACTTTTATCTTGTCTTATCTTTGCATTTCTGGAAAAAATGGTAAAGGCTTTTGCTACTTAAATATATAGGGTCATTCATGTCATCCTGTCTGATATTCTGAGTCTCCTCTGGATTGAAGATGCTGCCTCAACTTTTGTCATCAGCAGGGATCCTGGTTTTCTCTGGTAAAATGCCCTCCCCGCCACCCCCCCTTCAATTTCCATCATTAAAATGAAACACCACTATAGATAGATAGATAGATAGATAGATAGATAGATAGATAGATATCAGAGAAAACCACGATCCCTGGTCATCACTGATTTTCACTAGCACCACGTATTTTTATGTCATTAGCTTTCATTAGTGAGGGCAAGAAGTTTTCACCTTCTTCCTGTCTTCCCAGAATCCCAATACTTCCCACAGGGTGCAATTTCAAGAGTTGTATGACTTCCATCTAGACATCCAACACTATAGTTGGACATAAAATGTAGACATGAAGGTTTACTAGTAGGATCTAGTATGGCAGGTCCCATTACAATTTTTATGTAATTGACAATGCATGTAATTCATGAAAAATCCAAAACTGGCAAGCTTTGCATTATACGTGCCAGTGGATATTTGTTGCATCCATATAATGAATCAGTGAGTGGCTTCCCAGCTTCTATTTCACTTAATTTATTATCTTTCTCTTTTGAAACTGCTGACTTCTTTTGGCACAAAATTAGGACAGTTTGTACAATATCCACTCACTGTAATATAAATCTGAGAGGCAGGTACTAGCAAGGAAACTTGCATACTTTTGTCAATTAACTATTTTTTGTCTGACTACTCCTGTTAGACATGTAATGACCTATGTTAGATTTGGGAATATAAACCAAGCCTGGATTCCAGGACTTAAATTCAGAAATGGTTTGGGTTACTCTTCTGTTCCTCTAGCTTCATGACAATTGATATTTTTGAACTAACAGTTGACCCAGGGCCTCAAGTAATTTGAGACCTAAAGTTTGCTCTTGAAAATGAAATTTAATTTGTCTAAACTATGATTTGAGGATGCAACTGTCAATCTGTTGTTTAATTTCACCAGTGGTGAATATAAACTATTCATCAATTTTAGAATGTTTCCTAAAAATCCTCTTTTCTCTTATCCAATCAGCATAGTAAATTAAAACTTTTAAGTGTTATTATAAACTATATGAAAAATGCATAATAGGGCATGAGAGAGACATTTTACCAACCATGTGCTTATAAAACCTAAATATTGAGAAATGTAGGTTATCTCTAGATCTGAAAATTAACTGACTTCCCTATTCTAGGATAACTACTCTGCTGTAGCTCATACGATTTAGACAGTCCAAATATTTCACACAAACACTTTATTTTGGATAAAAAGTATTTTTTCCCTGCAATAATTGCTCTATTTGCAAAATGGTGTTAATTATTCCTTTGGAGTTAATTACTTTAAATTAGTAACGGAGGAATTAGTAATTAGTAGCTGGTAATGGGCAAACAGAGGGGCTTCCCTATTGGGGATTGGCAGGGTGTCACCTACAACTGGCCAATAGGAAATGCTAGGCACACACCTGTTTAAACTACCATCCCTATCTGGAGCTAGCTGAGAACTGCATATTAGGTAACTCCATCAACTTGGCATCCAGAGTAGCCAGAAAAGAGACACCTGCCTAACCCAAGCTTCTTAAACAAGTCCTTTAAACGTATTTCTTCAATACGTCTTGAAAAGGCCATTCACCATTCATCTTTTAAAATATGTATAATTAAAATTAAGCTAACACTATTTTATTAAACTAAAGAAGAAATATGTTGAACAACCACCATAATGATGTATTCTACGTGAGCAAAATATGCTTCCCTAGAAAGTAAGATTATTATGGCACTCTGATCCTACTACTTCCCTAAAAAGCATCCTTTTGTATAATAATTCTTCCCAATGACTTTTCAGATTAAGTTAATTGTTTTTTTGCTCTCACCCTTCCACACTTTCTAGCTACAGTCCTGTATTTATTTTAATGTAACTGAAAGCTAAGCAGAGAAGATGCATTTTAATGATCCCTAAGGACACCTATACAAGAACAGGGAGGCTGCTCTGACACACTGGAATTTGTATGTTGGAGTGGACTCAATTAATTGAGCCTGTTGGAGTGTGACAATTGCTGCACTCCAGCAGCCTCCTGCATCTTGTGTATCAGTGTCCCCATGATTAAAAATGGTGGCAGGGGCGCTTGAACTAGAGCTCATTGAACAAGTTTTTTTTTCAAGCATCCCCACAGTCATTTTTAAGTGTTGGGATGCTGATACAGGAGCTGTTGTGATTAAAGTGCTGCCCCCCTAACCCCAGAGCATGTGTAAAAGTATCCTACAGTTCCAATAACAGGATGGATAGATATCTGGCTGGGGTATCATAATCCTAGCACTCATTCCTGCCCAGGGCAGGGGGGTGGACTTGATGATCTGTTCAGGTCCCTTCCGACTCTAGAAACTATGAAACTATGAAACACTTACAGGACCCTTATTAACAAAAGAATAAAAATAATAAAGTAGAAAACAGATCCCTTTTGTGTTTAGTGATTTAACTTCAGCATATATATTCTTGTTTAAATTATGAATATTTCTAACAGCTTGTGCTAAATGGATTATTCAATGAATTTATCCTTTTTTCTCAGGCAAATGTATGACCGAATGGGAAGAGAGGCTCCATGTAGTGTATTTATTACTTGAGTTTATTCAGTACATTTTTGCAGTTTTTCCTTTACCTTAGAATTGAACATGGAAAAATACCATGAGAATTCACTCTTTACCTGATGATTAAATGTATTAGCTCTATATTATTGTAATGTCATTGCATCTATTTCAAACTGGATGAGTTTATTATCAGGAGACACAATCAAAGAAGCTTATGGAGGTCTGTATATGAACAAAAAAATGGACATAAGCTTGACCGAGG